GGAGACTGCAGTGCTAACACAGGATCCTAAGCTGAGCATCCCCAACTAGGGGGAGACTTGAGCAAAAAAATGATATTAAATTTCCTTAATTGCAGGGTGATAATTTTATTGATGAAAGGGATGATTGAAAGCTAGTTTTTAGTTCAATCCCTCGATGTTCAGGAGGAGTTTTAGCCCCTTTTGGCCCAAATAAACCCGTGCACATCCACTGCTTTGCATATAAATGTACAAAACAAACAAGTAGCTCCTTGCTCAGATGATCAACAGTTTAATGCTGGCTCGAAGTGCCTGTTTCTTGGCTGATATTAAACAGCAAATTAATAACTTCATCCCTCTGTGTTTCCATTTCCTTTTTTCCCCCCTCAGTTTTTGACAGAACTTTGAATCACCCTCAGTTTTCACTGATCGAGACAGGCAGGGAGGGTGTTTGTTGTCTTGCCAGACAGAGCCTAAATGTCCAAGGGAAAGAAAAATAGGAGATTAAATATGATGGAATGGGGTGCCTTTTAAAGCTGTCAGTGCCCCACAGAGGAAATGTGTTATCAAGTAATTTAGGAGGGAGGATTTAATGGAACGTCGTGTTTATTCATGAGGGAGCTCGCCCAGTGACCCCATCGTAACTTTGGGTATTGCCAAAGCTACTCCCTCTAAAATTCCTTTGTCCTGGAAGTTTCTAGATCACACAAGGAATTATGCAGGGTTTCTCTGCTACACAGCTGAGAAACAATAACAGTGAGTTATGGGTGTGAGGAGAAGCTGCTGAGTCCATTGTCTCGGAACCAAAGTGATTTAGTGCCGCTGAAAGAAATTTTAATTATGGTCCGTGGGCCTGAAAATTTAGAGCTGCTCCTTCCCCTTAATCTCGAGTTTATCTCTGGCTGCTAAAGGAGAGTGACACAAATTTGCCAAGCTAAATCTTGCTGAGGCTGCACTTGCAGCCAGTGAAGGGTTTTGTGGCGGGGGGAAACGTGTTTGCTGCGCTTTCCCTTCGCTCCTGGAGCCACCAAAACCTACCCAGCCAGGAATTTGGGATAAACACAGAGCTGTCCTAAACTCAGCTCCCACTTCAACAGTTTCAGGATCAAACCACTGTGTTTCTCTGCTTAATTTTCAAGGGTGTGAGGAGCTTGAAGTGCACCTACTTTAAACCCAAGTATGTCCTGGTGGTGCCCATGGACAAGGAGAAATATGAGACACATCTGAGGAGGACAGGATTGTTCAGCAGGCCAGAGATTGAAGAGGCAGTTTCCAGAGTGGACATGTACCTCCAAATCAGCCAGGATTCCCCAGGATACTTTGATGCAGTCATCAACACGGGTAAGTTAATCCCTGGAGGTGATTTTTGTGACGGAGAAGAATCCTTTTCCAGTTCATTCTGTTCCTGCCCTTTTGGGGAGGTGATTTTTGGGGTCCACCCCACTGCTGGTAAAATACATCACTGTGCTACAGAATATGATATTTGTACTTATTGTCAAGGGCACACAGAGCTTACAATTTAAAGATGGGATTAAAAAAAAAAACAAACCACTAATTGCAGAAGGAAAATATTTAGGTGAGTGCAGAACCTGAGATGAATTTGAGGTTGTTTTCTTGAATGTGCTGTTTATGGAGATGAAGGGGTTTTTTTCTCTCCCAAAGCTGGATAAGATAAGAATGTATTTCTGTGTCAGACTTCTGTGATTTTGTCCTTGTCTTTGCCCTGATGAAAGGTTGGGTTATAATTTTGCATCCTTTCCCTTTCTACAGATGACTTGAATGAGGCATTCATGGAGCTGAGTCTCCTTATGAAGGTGTTCCTGGACTTGGAGCTCCCTGCAGCCTTTGATGACATCCAGGACACCAGAAGCAGAGCAGGTACCACATCTGGGAACATGTTCCTTCTGTTTTTATCAGCAGGATGTTCCTACTTATTGTTAAAAGAATTGAAATCTGTGAATGAAGCAACCTGTGAGACCTGAAACCTCCTCGTGCTCCTCTGCCATGGGTTGATCCCTCCCTGGGATCTGAGTCCTTGATGGATTTACATCCCTGAGGCAAGAAGATGCAGCAAGTGAGCTGCCTGACTCTTCTGAGGATGGTTTAGGGCTGAGGAACTCCCAAATTCATCCCAAATGAGATCCATGTCCATGGCGAAGAGCTTTGTGTCCATCCAGCTGCTGAACAACAGGAAAATGGGCTGGCACTGGGACCTTCCCTTACCCTCTTCCCCAGGATAGCAAGAATCCCAAAAACCATGAAAATCAGGGTGGTAAAGTGAGTGAAGACAACTTATAAATTTGCTCCAAGTGGTTTTGGGGCTGCAGGACAAACCCAAATGGTCTGCAGTGGGTTTAAAAGGAGCCTTTTAGCCTTTTAAAAGAGCCTCATGATCACCTCCAGCTAATCCAAGTGCTTGCTCTCATCCCTGCGATTGTGCAATCTGCATCAGGGAATGGTTCCATCCAAAAATTCATAGAATATCCTCAGTTGGAAGAGACCACAAGGATCCAGTCCAGCTCCTGGCCCTGCACAAACACCCCAACAATCCCACCCCTGTCCCACAGAGCGTTGTCCAAACCCTCCTGGAGCTCTGGCAGCCTTGGGGCTGTGCCCACTGCCCTGGGGAACCTGTTCAGTGCCTCACAACACTTTGGATGAAGAACCTTTTCCTAAAATCCAGCCTAACCCTCCCCTGACACAGCTCCAGCCATTCCCTGGGTCCTGGCACTGTCACAGGGATCAGGGATTGGAGCTGCCCCTCCTGAGGGAGCTGCAGACCCTGAGGAGTCTCCCCTCAGTCTCCTCTTCTCCAGCTGAACAAGCCAAGTGCCCTCAGACACTCCTCATTAATATATTAATATTCCTCCTTCCTATATTAATATAGGGAAAACAAACAAACAAAAAATCCCCCAAAACTCCCAGCAACAACTTCCAGAGAGGCAAATTCTTTGACCAAACTCCCCCTGCAGCAGCAGAACAGGCTCAAGGAGGGAAAGGTGAGGGAGAAGAGTGGAGGAAGAAAGAAAGGAAGACTTCTGTTGTCACAGCTGGAATTTCTCCCACACAATTTCTCCCACAGTTGGGATAAAAGCAGAATATGAGCTCTAAAACACCACAGGAAAAAGAAATAAGGAGCAGAGATTTTGGCAGGAAGATGACCTGCAACGTGGACTCATTTTTGGGGCCTCTTTCCTCTAATTCCAAGGGTTACCATGGTTTATGGCTGCCTTGGTCAGACCCATTGCAACCCAGAGCAGTGAATCAGGTTCCTTTGGGAACACAGAGCCAACATCCAGGACCTTGGTGTGGCTCAGGAAGCTGCAAATCCAAGCAGCTGAAAGAAAGGAGGGAAATATCACTGAAGGGGAGTGTAAAATTCATCAGCTCCTAATTTCAAGTCATTTTTTTTGTGTCCTGAAAGGATTCATAAATCCTGATCTCCCCGCGGACACGGAAAAAAAACTGCTGCACGTTATGGTGGCATCTCAGAGCTCCAGCACTGAGGACCTTTCTGAGGAGTTTTATTTAACCTTAAACTAAGTAGACTTTATTTTCATTTCCAGAACTTCCACATTGGTTTAAAATGAGAACGATTCCCTTGCTTTATTTGCTCTAATATTGTGCTTTCTTGCCTTAAAAACTCTGCAGATGTTTTGGCCCGAAGGCAACAAAACCTTAAATGGATCATCAGAAAAGAAGGGGGAGGATTAAAGAGAAAATATTTTTAAATAACCCCGGTGTTTTTTAATATATGTGTATTTATCTGAGGTGCTTTTAAAGGACTTTGTCTTCCTCAGCAGCTCTGACTTGTCACCAGTTACAGAAACCCCATTAACACCACGAGATCTGGGTAATTCTGCTGCCCATAAAGTAACTTTTAAATTTACTACACGCCATTTAATTCACTTGGAGCTTCATTTAGAGGTGTTTAAATAAGTTTAACTATCCTATTTCTAGACATCCCCTGCTCTTATGGACTGTGGGAAATAATTTATGCTAAAAAACTTGCCCCCAGGTTGCCTTTAATGTGGACATTTTTAGTCAGACGGTGGCAGGGGGAAGATTGGTTGGGGGAGATTATGATGGGCTGTTAATTCTTTTTTGTAATGAACTGCTGTGCAAGAGCTTCTGTAAAAATACTGGGAGGAAATAGATAAGTTCTTCTTTTAAAAAGAAAAAACTTTTAATAGCAGAAGTAGAATTCCTTTCAGAGCTGATAATGCATTAACAGCTTTCATCCGTGGAATTCGGTGCTTTGGTAAAATCATGGAGTGGTTTGGGATGGAAGGGACCTTAAAGCCCATCCAGTGCCACCCCCTTTGCTGTGGGGCAACAAGATTTCCCCCTTGGGTGCTGCCCAGCACAGAGAGAAGGGGCCAGAGGTTGCCTAAAATCCCTGTTGGGATCTCCAGATGTCCAAGCCCAGGAGATCTCGAAAGGCTTCTCTGAAGCCTTTTGGGGTTTGCTGGGTATCAAAATGACTAAAAACCATGTTTATGGTCCTGACATGTCCCCCAGCACTGTTCAGGCACTGATGTAAATATAAATCCATGGAATCTCTGCTCCTGGCAGGGAAGGAGAGCCAGGGATCAAATCCTCTCTGTGCAAACAGGGAGAACAAAGAGGCCCCAGTTCCTCTGGATTTGTCACCAGAGGGAAAAACCAGTTTGAGAGTCAATTCTTAAAGCTGAGGAACAAACACTCCTGAGCTGGGAGAGATGGGAGATCATGGAATGGTTTGGGGTGGAAGGGGCCTTAAAGATCATCCAGTTCCAACCCCAACACCTTCCACTATCCCAGATTGCTCTGACCTGGCCTTGGACACTTCCAGGGATCCAGGGGCAGCCACAGCTTCTCTGGGCAACCTGGGCCAGGGCCTCCCCATTCTCCCAGACAGCAATTCCTTCCTGATAGGAGGAATTCCTGCATACTGCCATGTCCCAATATTTATAAGACCATTCCTACAGCTTAATTTAATATTTAGATACCATTTTATAGACAGGATACATCCCAGCTTAAAAATTTTATTTTTTTTTTTCAATTTGAAATAGTTTTGTTTTTAAAAAAGGAGTTGGTTGTGCCTTGTTTGTGTTTCATGCCAGTGGTGCAAGTCCTTGGATTTTAGTTCCCAGAAATTCAGGGAAATAACAGGTGAGAAGATGCCCTTTTCCAACTCCTCATGGCATTTTGAGAGCTCTTAGAAAGCGAAAACATCTAATTAGTTAGATTGTGATTAGCTCAGAGGACATGACTGAGGTGCAGGGACCTTAAATCCCGTCTCATTCCAAACCCTGCCATGGGCAGGGACACCTCCCATTATCCCAGATTGCTCCAAGCCTCATCCAACCTGGCCTTGGACACTTCCAGGGATGGAAATTCACAATATTTTAGTGTCTTTTTTGTGTGAATCTTTGTGTCTTTTCCACCCCAGGCTCAAGAACTCAACTCTTGTCCCCTGGTGGAGTGACTCGCTCTCCATCTGTCAGTGACCCCTTGGACTCTCCTACCAAAAAATATCCCAGAGCCTTCTTGGACATCAAGACTGCACCTCCAGGCTCTGTGGTAAGGAATATTTCTTGGAACCTTTGACAGAAATGATCAGTTGTAGTCAAACCTCTCACTCTCTCCGGGGAAAAATGGCTCCTGTTCTCCATCGGTCTTTCATTCCGACAATATTTCCCGGTTCCCGGAGTTAAAGGCAGATTGATGGGAATCACAGAGTCATGGAATGGTTTGGGTTGGAAAGGACCTTAAAGCCCACCCAGTGCCACCCCCTGCCATGGGCAAGGACAGCTTCCACTCTCCCAGGTTGCTCCAACCTGGCCTTGGACACTTCCAGGGATCCAGGGGCAGCCACAGCTTCTCTGGGCAATCTATGCCAGGGCCTCCTCATCCTCCCAGCCAGGAATTCCTTCCCAATATCCCATCTATCCCTGCCTTGTGGCAGTGGGAAGCCATTCCCTATGTCCTGTCCCTCCAGGCCCTTGGGAATGAGGCAGGTGAATCAGACAAGAGCACAAGTGTAGCTTCTGCTCCATTTTACACCAGAATAAACCTGTTGATCCCAGTTCACTTCATCCACTCATTTACTGGTCTAACGGAGCTGAATTTCATCTCTCACTTCTACAAGATATGAAATGATCCTATTCCATGGAAATAGATCCAGTTAGTAGGACAATGAGGGTTAATTATGCCATCCTGTGGCAGTGGAAAACTCCTGGAGCTGAGCCTTTCCAAGTGTTGTGCCAGAGAAAACTGGGCTGGCTGAGGAAGAGTGTGGCAGCAGGAGCAGGGCAGGGCTTGTGCCCCTGGGCTGGGCACTGGGGAGGCCACCCCTGGAGTGCTGTGTCCAGCTCTGGGCCCTGAGCTCAGGAAGGCCCTGGAGGGGCTGGAGCAGGGGCAGAGAAGAGCAGCGAGGCTGGGGAAGGGACTGGAGCACAAGTGCTGTGAGGAGAGGCTGAGGGAGCTGGGGGGGCTCAGCCTGGAGAGGAGGAGGCTCAGGGGAGACCTCCTCACTCTCTGCAACTCCCTGACAGGAGGGGGGAGCCGGGGGGGTCGGGCTCTGCTCCAGGGAACCAGCAGTAGGACAAGAGGGCACGGCCTCAAGCTGGGCCAGGGCAGGGGCAGGTTGGACATCAGGAAGGAATGTTTTCCATGGAGAGTGCTCAGCCATTGGAATGGGCTGCCCAGGGAAGTGGTGGATTTTCCATTCCTGGAGGTTTTTAAGGACAGACTGGATGTGGCATCAGTGCCATGGGCTGGGAACCACGACAGAGTTGAATCAAGGGTTGGACTGGATGATCTCAGAGGGCTTTTCCAACCCAGCTGATTCTATGATTCTGTGATTCTATAATCAGTCTCAACAAAGTGCTTGGATTTCAAATCACCTCTTTCAACTCCAGCTTCATCTCTCTCTCTCTCTTTTCCTTACTTTTCCTGGAGGAGTTCCTTCTCCCTGCAGGCAGAGGGGTGGTTGGGGCTCTGGAGCAGATGTGTCTTATGCTCCTTTTTTTAGACAACAATGACAAGGGAAAGAGGAAAAGAATAATGAAAGCTCTGAAGCTGGTTCCCTTCCAGGGCTCTTCTGTCACTCTGCTGAGTGATGGCTTGGCAGCAATGACCTGCTGTCCAATTTATAACCACCTCTGATGGGCAGAATTAATGCTGGAGATGGAGTAACAGCCCCCCCTTCCACCCTCCCTTTTCCCAGGCTTTAAAAAAAGCCATGGAGAAAGGTCTGCCTGGGACATGGGTGGCAGAAATAGGGAAACTCCCATCTTTCATTTTTCTGAGCCGAAATGTCTCTTTTCACGCCGTGCACGACTCAAAACGTGTCACAAATGTTGTCCATTGTCACCTTTCCTCCATCCAAAGCTCTGTTGTTGGAAGCTGAGGGAGAAGCCGGACTATCCCTTCCCTTGTTGGCCCCAGAACTCATTGATTTTTTATTTTATTTCAAAATTTGACATTTTGCCAGGGCAGGGAGAAGCGGTTTTAAGATGGAGGAGGCCATAATTTACCTCAGGTTTAACTTAACTTAGTGGCCACAAGCCTCTTTTTATTCTATTATTCTCCTCTTTCAGTGCTGGTAATTCCTTTGTGTTGTTCCCTGCACGAAGTTTTTATTAGATTTTTTTACAGGAAGCAAAAGCTTTTCAGTGTCAACCCAGTAAAATGTTCAAGGTGAACCACAGAATCCTCTTAGACCATATTCAATGAGAAGAATATAAATACATCTGTAGCCTTTAAAGTAAAATTTTGGCTAAACTCTTACATTTGAGGCTGGTTTTGGCACCCAAATAATGTGCTGTCACTGCAGTTCCCACATTCAACTCACATCCTGAAGAACTGGGAAATAAAAGATACGAAGAAATTAATGTGAGTTATTCACGTGAGTTATCCAAGAGCAAAATAAGCAGCAGGATCTGCTGCTCAGGGATCTGATTCCTTGCAGTTCATCCCTTGTGGCCAGGCCAACCCTGCCCTAATTTTTTATGGCTGTAATTAACTGTGCAAGGTGTGAACAGGAAGGTTCTTACCTTAATCCACCCAGCAAAGGAAAAAAAAAAGGTCAGAATTATATATTTAACCAAAAAAAAAGTGAAATTAAAAACAAGCTCAGTGAGGGAGATTTAGGATAAATAGTGAAGGAATTCACAATAATCACAATGTGAGCATTCACCTCTGTTACAGACATGATTAATTAATTCAATTCATTAAGTTAATTGATTTATTAATTGACTTGATTAATTGATTGATAACTATCAATGACTCTCAGCTGATAACGAGGCAGGATTTAATAACTCTGCCCTGTAATTTAAATTTTTTTTTAAGCACCTGTGGTGCTGGGAAGTTGGGAGGCATCAAAAGTGGTTTTCTGCAGGTTTTTCTTCCTGCTACATTCTCGTGGAATCACAGAACTGCTGAGGTTGGAAAAGATCTCCAAGGTCGTCGAGTCCAACCGTGTCCACCACTAAACCACCTCCTCAAGTGCCACATCTGCACCTTGTTTGAATGCTTCCAGGGATGGGGACTCCACCCCTGCCCTGGGCAGCCTGTTCCTGTGCTGGGCAACCCTTTCTGGGAAGAAATTATTCCAAATATCCAATTGAAACCTCCCCTGGCACAGCTTGAGGCCATTCCCTCTCCTCCTGTCCCTTGTTCCTTGGAAGCAGAACCCAACGCCCTCCTGGCTCTCCCCTCCAGTCAGGGCATTGCAGAGACTTTTTGACTCCTTTGTAGAGACTATTTGGCTGCTGTGAAGACATTGAAGCTTCACTGGAGGTCAAGATCTTCGTTATTCAAAAGCAGCAAGACTAAAGACCAAAATTTCATCAGCGAATCACATCCAGCACCTTTTTAATTATAATATTCCTCTGCCATTTCCCCAAAAATCTATAAATACACATGCTCTGGAATTTTAGCACATGAAAGGGCTGTCATAGCCACTTAAATCCCCACATTTGCTGTTGAATTGCTGTGTAAAGTTGGGCTCCTTTCTCTTCTAGGAAGAAGCTTCTCTCCGAAGACGTTTTTCCGCGGCACATCAGGCCCTGTCATGGAAAGCACCTCCTGCCCCTGTCCAGCTGCTTCCCAGGTAACCCAGAGGGATCTCAGCCAAATTCCTGGGAATTCAAGTGAAAAAGAACCTGTCTGAGGTTTCTTCTCCACTGAGTGATTAGAAACTGTCAGGGATTGCAGCTCTATTCCCTGCCCCTTTTAAATCCCAAATAAATCACGGACCAGCTTGGCTTTTAAATTGGGAGTGCACTGGGAATGGATGAGGCAGAGCCAGCCACGAGTAACTTGTCTAAAACCATGGAATTATTTGATGTATCTTCTCTCAGAGAGAAGAAAAGGACCATTTTTTCTGGCAGCTCAGTCTCTGATGTGGTGGGTTTTTTTCAGCAGTAATTAGTGGTGGAAGGTCCCAGTTTGTGTTTGCTGCAGTGAATCTTCTCTGTTTAAACAGAATTTCTGAAAGCTGAGGCCACTTCCTCGTTTTACTTTTTAATTTTTAATTTTTTTAAAATTTTTTTTTAAAATTTTAGAAAAGTTTTTTTTCATTATTTGTTTTCATTTTTTTAATTTTTGAAGTCCCACCCTGACTGCCTCGCTTCCTTTTCTTCCTCGTAGTCACAGCCCTGCAAAACCAGGTTAAAACTCTGAATCTCAATAGTTTTGAGCCCTTCTGCCTTCCCCTGGTGTAAACCTCCCTAATCTGAATTCTTCCTTCCTTGTTTTTCCTACCTGCCATGAAAAAGGCTCCCAGTGGGGACATTTAAAGCATCACAGAGGCCTCTAAATCAGCAAAATCAGAAGGAATAGAAAATTTCCCACCTCTCAGGGCTGCCCAGTTGCCAGATGTGTTGATGAGAATCACTCCAATGCCAGAAGCTGAAAATTAATTCTAAAAAATAAAAAGAAAGAAAGAAATGCATCATAATAATGCATTTTTCAAATCTTTACTCATTTTAAATGGTGTTGAAGTGAGAAATAAAAATGGAAATGGGTGTTTTCTTTTGCTGGAGGTGTTTTGGGGTTGATTTAGCTCTGCAACATGAACTGTTCTTCTGAGTCTGCTTTAGGTTTTGGGGTTTTTTTTGCTGCCTTCATTCCACAATCCTCATTCCTTTGGAAGCTGATTTTGGGAGTTAAGCTGGGGCAGGTGAGAGAAAAATCCTGTCAGCCCCAATCAGCATTTCCAATGCCTGACCTGGAGGGATGGATGCAGAGGAGACAACGCCCCATTCCAAGCAAGAATTTAAGTCAAAAAATATCATAAATACGAATGTTATCAAATAGCTGAAATTCTGAGAGAAAAGCCTGGAATGCAGGAATTAGCAAGAAAACCTGGAAGGTCAGGTAGCCCAGTCTGGGAGCTTTTGGAGTGTCTTTGTTTTTACAGAATTAAGTTTTGAATTCCCATCAGAGAGGGGTTTCACCTTGGAAAACTCACACAGGATTTGATGGATCTTTCTTTTAATATGGAATTATGGGCTTGGGTCAGGAGCAGCTCCAAAGGTCACTGCATGTCCCCTCTCTCAGCTGTGGTGGCCACCTTTGTGCACACTCTGAGTCCTTGGTGATGTGATTTCCTTTGGCTCTGTTCAGGATCCCAGCCAGGAATTTGTGGATGGATTGGGTGGCTCAGCTGGTAAATTCATGATTTCATTGTTTGTAGCAATATTAGCAGCAGCATCCAGCTAATTTGGAGGGAGGTAGAGTGTTATCTTCTCTTATCCCTTTCCACGGTTCTTAATTATATATCTAATATATTTTATATTTCTCTGTGTCTCTGCTTAGTAAATTCAGTGGTGTTACTACAAATCAACTCGAATTAATAAATTAACTCTCAAAATTGACCACTTTCAGAGTATTTCCAAGTATGGAAGGCCCAGTTGTGGATCCAGGTGTGGCTGCCCCATCCCTGGAAGTGTCTAAGGCCGGGTTGGAAAGGACTTGGAGCAACCTGGGCTAGTGGAAGCTGTCCCTGCCCATGGCAGAGGGTGGCACTGGATGGGCTTTAAGGTCCTTTCCAACCCAAACCATCCTGTGATTCCATGATTTCAGGTGTCCCTACAACACATGCTGGCACAGAAGGCACTATATCATGCGTGGGAGGCACAATTATCTCTACATAAATTGCTCAAAAATGGCATTAATCTTGTTTTAGGCCTTGTTGGCTCAGCAATCCCAGGTACACATCTCATATCTCGATCCATCTTAGTTTTGGTGCATCCCAGGTTCCTCTCTCCTCTGGAATATCCATGTTTGAAGTTATTTTTCTTTTATCTTTTTTTTCTTAGGAGCATTTTATTTCTGCTTTTGCTTGGCTACAGCCTGGCTTCAGTTATTCCAATATAAATCCTCCTTTTTCCAGTGGGATCTGAATTGAGTGAAGACATGGACTTGTGAGTGGGAGAAGCAAAGGGTGTATTTTGAGGCAGTGGCACAGTTTTCCAGAGAAGCTGTGGCTGCCCCTGGATCCCTGGAAGTGTCCAAGGCCAGGTTGGAGCAGCCTGGGATAGTGGAAGGTGTTGGGGTTGGACCTGGATCATCTTTAAGGTCCCTTTCCACCCAAACCGTTGTGATTCCCACCCAAACAAAAAATCACAATGGTTTGGGTGGGAAAGGACCTAAAAATTCTCCCCCTGGGAAGTGACATTTTGGACCAAAGTGGGACAAACGGAGAGAAGAAAGTTCATTAAAGTGGATTAATTTCAAATTTTACTGGGAAATAAAAGAGGAAGGTCAGTCCTTGCTGTGTTTGATGGAGGTGGAACAGAGTGAAACTTTATTCCTTGCAGGAGATCTGAAGCAAAACAAGACAAGAACTCTAAAAAGTAGGTTATCATTAAAAAGAACAAATTCATGAATTATACAGGTAAAAGAATATATATATTTTTAGCACATAGAAATGCCAACATGATCAGCTGCAAGCTTCTGCAAAGTCTTGCTTGAATTGAAGATTTTTTTTTTTGTTGGACTGGATTTTAATTGCAGGAACTCTGTGAGCAGCACCATTAGAGTGGTTTTATTGAGGACTTTTATCCTGATTTCTGTGATTGAAAAGAACTATCAGTGCAAAGTAGATTTTTTTGTGTGTGTCCAGGCAATTTTTTCATGTAATTAGGAAGATTTTAGTGACTTCAGTATTTCTTCAGTGGCAGTTTTGGCTCATCCACACTCCCTCCTTCCTTTTCTTCCACTGCCACTGCTTAGTGAGGAATTGAATGAAGCCACAGATCAGGTTTTGCCAAACAAAAAGGTTATTTTTTTTTGCAGCCAAATCGAATTTCCTCACTCTCTGAAAAGCCCCTTGTGCTGGGAGTGCAAAGAGGTGACTGTGATCAGAAATCGCAGAGGCCAAAGAACCCTATTTCAGTTAAGAGGGAATCAAAATTCTATTTAATATATAAAAACTGATGCCAAAAATAAGATATGCAAAAAAAGTTCCTAAACTACTCCAAGTTTTGCCTTTCTTCTGTATCTATAAATATTAAGATTAATCTCCTCATGACATATTTTAATCCCAAACCGAAAAATACTCATTTTTTTCCTGAGCCTGCGTTAGAAATTTTGAAGCGGTGTCACGCAAGAATCCAACTTATTTTATTTATTGCTACCCTGCAGGGTTATCTCCATAAATTTACTTTCCTAAATCCAAATGACTGAAAAGCTGGCCTCTTTTATTTCCTGCCTCTGGCTGTGTGCAGGTGTAATTAAAGTGATTTTGATGTCTCTTTGCCTCATGGAAC